AGGTTTGCGTACCTGAGGAATAGGATTAAGGTTTGCGTACCTGAGGAATAGGTTTATGGTTTGCGTACCTGAGGAATAGGATTAAGGTTTGCGTACCTGAGGAATAGGTTTAAGGTTTGTGTACCTGAGGAATAGGTTTATGGTTTGCATACCTGAGGAATAGGTTTAAGGATTGCGTACCTGAGGAATAGGTTTATGGTTTGCATACCTGAGGAATAGGTTTAAGGTTTGCGTACCTGAGGAATAGGTTTATGGTTTGCATACCTAAGGAATAGGTTCAAGGTTTGCGTACCTGAGGAATAGGTTTAAGGTTTGCGTACCTGAGGAATAGGTTTAGGGTTTACGTACCTGAGGAATAGGTTTAGGGTTTGCGTACCTGAGGAATAGGTTTAGGGTTTGCGTATGCGTAAGCTACACCAACTGATGTATGAGGACAAATGATATAATCATTTTCTGTAAAACATCTCCCAAGAACATCTAAATAAGAAGGAAAACAGAATAATTTAATAAAAAGTCTTATATACAGTATATATTATATATACAACAAAATCGTAATTTTATCTGGCAAAGGAACAAAATACAATGGGTTTTAACGTATCTACACATTTTAAAGTAATTAACACATTTTTTATGTTACTTTCTTCATTTAAGTTAATTTAAATTTTGTTAACCCCATTCTCCCCTTCCCTACCCCCCTTTGTTTCATTCATTTTTGGATAAATCATAATGAGTTTGTTTCTACAGTTTCGTAAGAATTCATAGGAAACTGCATAATGCTTGTTAACGTTTTAAACAAGTTTGCTCAAATAAGATGATAAAAATATGTATCTACAGTATAATTTCTTCCCTATCGTTCAGAATTATGTGTAAAAAAGAGTTGGATACGAATGTGATGTAGCTTTTACAAAATTTAAAAATTCAATTCCTTCCTTTGTTTAATATTGCTTGTACGGTATATATTTAACACTTCTTATAAATTATTCCTCTACATATAAACCGAAAGGTTTAACAAATCGGCCCATGACTTTCTTCTTAGTTTTTAATGGTTTCCCATTTCCATAAATTGAAATTTCTTCTCTTCTCTCTCATCCAATATTCACAATAGTTTAAGACTATAGATATATAAAGATCTAAGGGAGGAAGGAAGGAGGCCACACAGAAAAAGTTTATTTTATTTTGTCTCCATTTTTAAACAAGGTGTTTTAAAGAAAAGTTTTATCTATGTGTAAAAATTATAAATATGTCTTTAAAACAATTGTTAAAATAGTTTTACCCCGAAAAACAGTATAGGAATTTTGCTACAGTTAAACCCTAAATAAGCAATACATCGAAAGAATTCATCAAATGTCGTATTCTTCACTTTCTGATAATGGAATGTTGCAAATATTTAGTTTTTAATCAAATGATCATATGGAACTCTTTAAAACTGTTCCCGCAAATTCATGGCTATTTATTTATTTTCGCAAATACTGAGATTTAGGTAAAGTTGTAAAAAACCATTGAAAAAATGTCAAGACGACATTTGATAAATTCTTTCGATGTATGGCTCATTTAGGGTTTGATTTCTTCATAAATTTTGTGTTCATTAAAAATGTAAAATTTTTAAAATCTACCTATCATAACATCATTATCAACCATCATACTATCTACAACTACATCCCTGATCAATTCCAGTTCATATGTCCAGAGAAAAAAAAAACTTTTTAATCGTCAACATTTCATATTAGCAAAGGGATCTTCAGAATGAAAAAAATCCTGAAATATACAATTGTATTAATTTCTTTACTTTGGTCCAATGCTGGTGTCAACAAGAACTCCACTGTTTTTTCAAAACTGCTTTACAATGAAGAATCATATAAAATGTAATCTTTATTAAATAAACTGTTCCTGATTTTGTTCAGGAGATCCTCTGGTATTTGACACCCCTATAAGTGAGTTAGAACAAAATAATGGCCTGGCGAAAAAAGTTTAAAATTGAAAATAATAGTTTGAGGCTAAAATTTCAGCAAAAGTTCGTTAAGCTACGAAATTCATTAAAACTGTTTTATTTATGTCAAATTGAGCCCGGGGAGTGGGGAATAGATTTATGGTTTGCGTGCCTGAGGAATAGGTTTAAGGTTTGCGTACCTGAGAATCATTGGTGTAACCAATCAAGACTCTTGCAGATTGATAAGAAAGGAGAAAATAAAATTTTTGAACCAATTCAAACTAGATCTCTTTTCGTCCATAAGTTACCAGCTCCCGGTCAAAACTTTCATGTAAGAACGCGTTAATCCATCAGGCTTATTTCAATATCCCCTCTGTGACAGTATCGGTGCAATGTGCTTAATCCCTTATCTTTTGTTATCCATGTCATGGGGTCCAACCACAGGATATCCAAGAGAATCTAGAAGATTTTGGTCGCTAAAGGATAAAGATTAGTGTTTGATCCAATGACTAACAACACAAGAGTTCTGACCCCCTGATTTTTTCTTTAGTTTCTGCCACTTTTCCACTTTTTCTCAATGCAGAGTAGAGAATAAATGCATTTGACATATGAACCCCCTTCAGCACATAAACCTCGTTTTATATGAATTGTAAAATTCACTCTAAGCTTTAAACTTAAAGTTTAAGAATTACTCTCACATGAAAATACAAGACGAGAAAGATAAATGCAAAGATTTATTCAACTATTTCACACACTAGGAGTCTAGGATAAACCCAATATTTATTCTAGAATTATAACAGTTAGATAACTCATTGATATTTAGTCGAGATGAATTCTATTTTCTGTCGCAGTTTAGACTCCCAGTTTTCTCCTTTCTTCATCTCATCGTATCTACAAAAATATCAATATTAGTTGGGCTAATTTTGAGAAATAATTGGAAATTCTTTTTAAGAACAAAAAGAAATTAATAGTGTTAAACGGATATAAAAATTAAAGGTTACATAAAGGGCCTTCATCTTTTGTGAATGCAATTAACCAGTATCCAAGGGAATAAAAAAGTAATTTGAGCCAAAGATAATAAAACCAACTATATTTAGATCAGAAAACTCCACCTTAAATTAAAAGGATAAAGTTTAAAGAAAAAGATCATAAAATTAAAGCAAATAATTGGATGAGATCATAATCACACGTGGACCTTGTCGCCATATTGAAGAGCTTCTGAATCTCTGGGTTTGGTTTGGGTTGTACACCAGCTTTCTCAACTGCTTCTGGAAACTTGTCGGGTGCAGCTGTTGCAAGTACAATCTAGAAACATTCAGTTTCATGAATTTATACTTATAGTGTAATGAATAACTAATTATACGATATTTATACATTAAATTCAGCAGAACATTAAAAAGAATGGTTTGGTTTTATGGTTTGCTTTCTTCAAAATACGCCTTTCCAATTTTCATCTAAAGCAGTGAAATTATTCTAAAATGATTACTTTTTTCAGATTTTGTATCTAACTTTGAGTAACAAAAATGCATGGGTATTTTCTCGAAAAATCTATTTCCCGCACCCCGCTCTTTTGAAAAAAAAAATTGTAAATAGAATTTATATATGGGTATCATCAAGGTATCAAAAAGTATGAACAAAGGAATTGAGTCTTTAGAACAAAATCAAATATTTAAACCTCAATATATTTAGAACTCGATGTTGTAAACCTTTGATATTTCAAACTCAGATTATTTGATCTAACAGAATTCATAGTTTAAAATATTTAAGGTAAGCAACATTTGGTTCCAAAGATATAGTGATTAGAAAATCAGAGTTTGTGGCAAAGACTCAATTTCTTTGCCTTTAGATGTTTATTTTCCATTTTTTTCCCCAAAACATTAAAAACCATTTGCCCCCCCCCCCCCCCCCCCCCCCACAGGGGGGCATGATTTTTAAAAAATATTTAGACCCCTGTATATATCATTAATATTATATTGTAACATATGTGTTGCTAAAGAGTAAATACATGAAGTAAAATTATTCTTTCATGTTCATCATAAAAATATATTGCAAGATGCTGAGCATCTATATAAAATTTTACACTGGGCAAAATTTTACTATTATTAGAAACTGTAAAAACCTCAAATTACACTTGAAAGGAATTGATTATTCGTCTCAAACTCTAATTTTCTAATCCATGTATATTTACAACCTGATGTAGCACATCTTCGATATTTCAATTTATGAATTATGTTAGTTTAAGTAAGTTGAGTTTGAAATAGTTTTGCAACATAGGGTTAACAAGATATAGAGATCAAAAAAAGAAAATTTGTATTATTCAATACCTCAAAATAAATGAGTCTTTATAATCTTACTTTTAAGGATTGGAGTAAGGGGGGGGGGAAGCTGATTGAAAAATAAAATCGAACTTTACCAAATTTAGAGACTATTTTTATTTAATAAAAAGTTAAAAGAATTCCAATCAAATGATCAAGAATTGTTTACAAATCCCATCCTGCACCGGGAACGGATTAGGTTGATCTCAGAAGGCAATAAAATGAAAAGAGAGTAATAGGAATGTTACAGTTATTGAATTCTGCAGGAAATATTTTGCAACAATTTCAATTTGCACAGAGTGCAGAGTACGGAGTACAAACATGATACTACTGTTGTACTATGGGAGGAGGTTCAGGTCCTTCTAAATATAAAAAAAAATTTCCAATCCTATGAAAAACGTATGTGTACTTTTGGTATAGGTTTTGGGTTTGAGTACCTGAGGTATTGGTTTAAATGTGCATGCCTGGGGAAAAAGGTTTAGGGTTTACATACCTGAGGAATGAGGAATAGGTTTAAGGTTTGCGCACCTGAGTAATATGTTTCAAGTTTGTATACTTGTGGAATAGGTTTAGGTTTTGCGTACCTGTGGAATAGGTTTAAGGTTTGCATACCTGTGGAATAGGTTTAGGGTTTGCGTACCTGGGGAATAGGTTTAGGGTTTGCGTACCTGGGGAATAGTTTTAGGGTTTGTGTATCTGAGGATTGGGTTAAGGTTTTTATACCTGAGGAATAGGTTTAAGGTTTGTGTACCTGTGCAATAGGTTTCAGGTTTGAATACCTGGGGAATAGATTAAGGGTTTGCGGGCCTGAGGAATAGGTTTATGGTTTGCGTACCTGAGGAATAGGTTTATGGTTTGCGTACCTGAGGAATAGGTTTAAGGTTTGCGTACCTGAGAAATAGGTTTAAGGTTTGTGTACCTGAGGAATAAACTTTAGATTTGAGTACCTGATGAATAGGTTTATGGTTTGCGTACCTGAGGAAAAGGTTTAAGGTTTGCGTACCTGAGGAATAGGTTTAAGGTTTGTGTATCTGAGGAATAGGTTTAAGGTTTGCGTACCTGAGGAACAAGTTTAAGGTTTGCGTACCTGAGGAATAGGTTTAAGGTTTGCGTACCTGAGGAATAGGTTTAAGGTTTGCTTACCTGAGGAATAGGTTTAAATTTTACGTACCTGAGGAATAGGTTTAAGGTTTGCGTACCTGAGGAATAGGTTTGTGGTTTGCGTACCTGAGGAATAGGTTTATGGCTTGTGTATCTGAGGAAAAGGTTTTAGGTTTGCGTACCTGAGGAATAGGATTAAGGTTTGCGTACCTGAGGAATAGGTTTATGGTTTGCGTACCTGAGGAATAGGT